CATGGCATGGCATGGCATGGCATGGCATGGCATGGCATGGCAAGGCAAGGCAAGGCAAGGCAAGGCAAGGCAAGGCATATATGGATACACCAAAGATGGGAGTATGTGACATAATGAAGTGGGTAGCCTCATAGAAGTTGTAATGGGCTGAATATTTCACATGACAGTAGATCAATGCAGACAACAACAATCCTCACTGATATCCGTGCACTGCTGTTCACAAGGAGCATCTGCACACACATCATAGTCTAAAGAGAGGGAGAATATGACCTTAAAAGAACCAGAAAATAGCCAAAGAAATGCTGTCCAAATCATATAACTCATCAAAAGTGTTAACTGGCAATGATTTGTGGCATGTCACAACAGTTGGAAAGCAGCTGAAGTGGTCTTCATCCTGCAATGGGCTGATTTGGGCTGTGAATGAATGAATGAATGAATGAATGAATGAATGAATGAATGAATGAATGAACTGATACATAACTAAAGTAAAAATGTGGGCTGACAATTAACTACTGATGGTTGTGAGACAACTCATCATATTGTTGAGATGCTGTTACATGTTAGTGAATGCATAGTTTCCTCCAACAGTGTGCTATCCAGAAGCAAAATTGGAGTTTTATAGTTTCAAGAAGAATAAACTTGAAAACAGAACTAATCCCAAACAGAGGAAGTAGTTATTAAAAGCAGTCATGTTCCTGCACTTTTGCACAGCTTCTTGTACAGAAGCAAAATGAATTCACTGAGTGCTGCTTGCAGGGACAGGGAATCAGAGCATACTGTTGTCATCGCATGCAACACATAATTAAGTGGAAAGGAGGAAAAATCATTATTGTTATGCCACCAAGTACTTCCAATAATGTCTACTTCACACCAAAAATTTACTGACATTTGGGGCATTTTTCTTTCCTCAGCCATCAGGAATAGTTGCAGAAGAGAAGCACTGGTAAGATTCAGAGAAATTAACAACCTTTTCCATTGATGACTGTAACCCCGTTTTCTCATTTATCTCACAAATGCTTATTTTGATATGTACCTTCAAACCTAATTTGAAACTGTACATTTGGTTCCCAACTGGCAACCTTTGTGCTAAGTGTGTAAGCAGATGATGTAATGTACTGAATCTATTTGATGTATAATGTGATTTTCTCATTTGATTCAGAGTGTTTGCCATTTCAAAAATCAGTACAGAACATATGGCCCCAAGAGCTTTCTCAGTGCTGACAACAGATCTAAGATGGGAGAAATCACTTCATGGGTTTGATCATCTACTAAGTTTTTTATCACAGTTTTGCCCCAATACATGATCAAGTTTGTGACTGGCTGCCAAAATTCCCAAAACATTGAGCAACTAAGCTAGAACATCTGCTGATACTATATCTACCATAAAAATAAGGTGAGTCCTTTTATTGATTTTACATTGGTTCACAACAAGAAGGGTGTGTCAAATTTATGCACTGTCTTAGCAACTTTCATAACAATGCAAGCCTGCCAGAGTTGAGAATGCATGACCTATAAAACACACTCTTACACTTACATTCAGTGTGTGTAAATCTTTAATAAAGAATGAACCATAGGTTGAACTCCTTTATCTAATAAATTTTAAAAAATGAAAATGTTATTATACTCCAGAGAGGCTAAAATACATATTATATTAAAACATTTCCATTTAAACAAGAAGTTATCCTTAGCATAGTTGAATCTTCCAAGAATGATTTTGGGAGAGGAGTGGTACATCTCTCTGAAGCATTTATCAGCATGCACCTGGCAACAGTGAGCCACAGAAGTCAACACAATGTCCACAGATGCCAGTGTCCCCAGGACACCCAAAAGAGTCCCCCTCCACAAGAGGGAACTTCATAAGACATAATGAACTCATGCAAGATTTCAGCAATTTCTTTTCATCATGTCTCCTCATGGTAAAACGAGTAGAGTATATAGTGAAACCCACATTCAGATCTATTCAGTCATGAAGCTGATGGGAAAACTTTAAGTCTGCCACAGTGGATAGGTAAAATTTGGTTTGACTTGTTTTTTAAACAGAACTTTCCAAAGTCACGTTTTTCCCAAAAAGAAAAAGGAAAGAACAGAGCTGAAATCTCTGTCAGAATGAGAGGGCCAGGGTGAAGCAGTATGGTAAGGATAGATGGGGTTTTGCTATAAGGAGAGGTAGCCTGGGTCAGAAGAATATTACTACTGTTCCAAGGCCCTACTGCTGAAGCACTGGGTAAACAGAAGGCAGTCTGTGTTATTGCTGTGCAATTATTGCTACGAGGAAGTGAAGTTGCTCCATTAGAAACGTTTACTAATTGATTTTATGACCCTAGAAAATAGAGTTTAGCTTCGTGGGAATTGAGTGTTAAATTCTACAATAAGGGCACTGCTACAAAGCCATCAGCCTCATCCCTGGCGTCCTGAGTTTTGCAATGCTGCACTAGTGCCCTCACTGTAGCATTCTTCGATGTAGCTGGCCAGCTGGTTAAAAAGAGCCAATATATTAAAACAGCAGCCAGCTAGAACCCCAGCCCCACCTTTGTTCTTCCCTTGCTGCATTTTTTGGGGGAAAAAGCAACCCTTCTCTGAAACAACCCTCATCGGGTCACTGTGCAAAGAGAACAGCCATGTCACCTCTTGAAGTTACCAAGGAAATGGTGGCAAGGCACCAGAGCTGTTTGGCTACAGGAAGGAGAAATCTCAGAAGCAAAATCCCAGTTCCATGAGTTTTCCTACCCATAGGAACAATCTGCCCTGCACCTCCAGTGGCAGTGCTGCATAATCCTCTTTGCAGCATCTCTTCTGAAGAGGAGCTGAGCTGATAATTAATGGACTCAGCTTGGAAAATTCTCAGCATATTAAATAAATGCTCAATCTTATATTTATTAATTTAGCACAGGAACACAGAGCCATGGAAGTGATAAACACGGTAAAGAAACATTTCATTACATACCTTCAGGAATGCATTGCCCAAGAACAAACTTATAACCTTTACAGCACTTTTTCCTGGAAAACAAAAAAGAGATGATGTTGATGATGAAATCAGTAAATTAAGAGTCCTATCCTTCACATAGAACTATAGAACGGGAAGGACTCATTTAAATTCCTCAAAATCCACTCTCCCTAATTCAAGAGTCCAAACCATCTCCACCTGGTGTCTGTCTAGTTCCTGTTTGAAGAATGAAAGCTCATCATCTTCTTAGGCAAAGGATTATACAAACTTACTATTAGGGAGTTAAGTCTACTATTTTATGCCTTTCAATCTGTGATCACAAAGAACAAATGATAGTCCTTTTGCGTGTATATAAGCACTTTTCACATACTTGAAGAGCATTATCATACCCTCCCTCCTCAATTTCTATTCTCCTCAACTTCAGTTCCCTCATCCTCTTCACTCTCCTTTGAATCACTTCCAGTTGAACTGAATCCTTCTTAAAATGTGATGACCAGAACTGTACACAGACTGGAAGGGTTGTCATTACTGAGAAATTATGATCCAGCCTAAAATTTTATTTGCCCATTTTGCAGTTACATTGTCCTGCTGACTCATAGCTTGTGATCAATTGTAACTCCAAAATCACTTTCAGATGTACTCTTGTGTTAAGCGCTAGGTATGACTTATCTTAGACCTGCACATTTGATTTATTTTACCTAAATGAATAACTGCATTTATCTCTGTTCATTTCAATCTGGCATTCCCTGCCCAGTTTTTTAAACATTCAAGATTACTTTGAATATTATTTATGTCTTCCAAGGCATTTGCATTTATTTATTGATAAGACTTATATAGCCCCCCAACTTATGTACAATAACCCTGGGCAGCTCACAGCAAGATCAGTAAAACAAAAAAAGATAAAACACGATACAACATCAACAGCATACTATTTCCACCGAACGTTGTCTTCTATCGATACAGTAAGCATTTCCCACCTGCTCCTTCCTCAAAGAATAAAAATGAATAAAAATCCTGAGGAGCTCATGGCTCAAAACCAAATCTTCTCCCTCCCGCTCATTCTCTTTCTCCTGTATGAGGAGTTATGATTGATGAGCATTCTTTGAATGGGACTTTCTGGCCCACTGCAGATTTAACTAGTAGTAATGTAATTTAACATTCATGGATCTTTTCATAGGTAAATAGCAATGGCCCATTATGGAATGCTCCCTGGGGTAAAACTCTAGTGCAAGTCAACAAATCAACAATATGAAAAGAGGGGGGGGGCAGCACCATTCATAAGAGGGTTTAAGGAAGTGTGTGGTCAGACTGAGGAAAACAGAAAGATCCTGTGAGTGCTGCTGGAGCTAATAGAATGAATGATTCTAGAAATCGCCTGCTACTATCGTATTACTTTCTGACCCCATGAAAAAAAATGTTTCTTAAGGCAGAGCATTAAAAATATGAATCCTGGCTTAAAAAGTTTGAGATGTAGACTTAAATCATCGAGGGTATACATACCATTGGTACTAAGAAAGAATGCCTGAAAATATTCATACATTACCTCTAATAACCGTGAGCTGCTAGATTTATGACATTTACAATATAAATGTAGTTTATATGCCAGGCAGTTATACTGAAACTGCAGTTGTCAAAAGGCCTAGGAGGATAATCCATCTCCAACTGCCGGACCTAGGATATTATATTATATACTGAGACAGATCAGTGAAACTGTCAGCCTATTTGTAGCCAAGATTTCAAGCATGAGCTTGTTAAGATTCAGGGCAGAAGTTCCTTTATTTAGGAACACTATTTATGCTACTAAGTAAAACATACAGGACTAGTTTGCATGGCCATTGTTGGTTCCAAGGTTATGGTGGCCTTAGTTAAAATGCCCCATGGGGCTTCTCTGATGCCACCTTGTCTCCTGGGGCTTAGTTGGCAGCAATAGACAGGCAGGTCTGGGAAACAGCAGTGCTTTGATCACCCATCCTTTTAATTTTACAAAATGCCCCAAATAAAGCCTTGCTCCCCCTATGAAGGGCATTTACATGGCAAACTGCACAGCTAAACCCTAATGCCAGCACTGCCCAAAATGCCATGCCACAAAATAAAATTGTCAGAGAGCCCTGAACTCTGTAATGGCAGCTGCCCAGGGCTTCGATGTACAAACACAGTTCTACATTTCAATAAGGATGGGATGTTCGAAACCTCCTTTTTGTAGGAAAGCCTAATAACATGATGAAGGATAATAGAAAGCTGGCTAAAAGGATAAGAAGTGTCAGAAAAGTCAATGTTATCATTGAATGTTCATCATTTAAAGAAAGTAGAACATAAAACAGATGAGATTAACCACATATCCTAACTCCCATAGGGATTATTTAACGTAACACGTGATCTTGCTTTTCTTAAGCAAGATTCTAAAAGATCTGAGAGCTTTCAACTAGTTCAAGATAGGAGCGTGTTCCAGAAGTGTGGGGGGAGTCCATCTGTTTCTAATAATTTGCGGTCCAAAGCAAGTGGTTTCATTTGCCAGTTGCTATTTTGCCTGGCATATCTTTGAGAAGCAGGCTGTAGGGCATAGCAACCTTTGAAATTATATATTTTTATGCACCATTTCAAAACATCTGATAGGCCATGCATGCATTTTTTTCTGAATTAAAATTGAGAGCACACTATACTCTTTGCTTTGTTAAATCTATATAGAAGTTGAAAGAGCAGGAAAACATGGTGAGGCAGAAAGGTTTGTTTATTGTTAATACTTATATACTGCTTCAACCGTATGACTCTAAACAGCATCCACTTAGTTTCCTTCCCAGACTTCCTCAATATCCAGTCCCCTTTAGCATTATACAGTCACTGACTATGCTCGTCTTGATGTCACTGGCTGATTTTGAGGTTCCCCTGATTTTTATGGCCCCATATATTTTCTGTTTCAGCAAATCTGAGATTACCCTGCCCTGTTTTTTTAAGTTGTATACAGACCCTTCAAGAAGCAACCAAGATAGATTGATAGGTAGGTAGGTAGGTAGGTAG